ACTGTAAAGCCAGGTGGCCTTGAACTTGCAGTGATCTTCCTTGCCTCAGTCTCCTGAGTGCTGGGATTATAGGCGTGTACCACCACACCTGGTTTTATCTCATCATTCTTGACACTTTCTGAAGCAGTATTGTGTCTATATGAGATATGATAAAAAATATGGTGAATGCTAGCCGTCAGAAAGGCAAGTTTATAAAACTATTTTTTCCTCACCTGCCATATTCAGTGAATCAAGCACCATGCAACATTTCACTTTTCTATTTTTTTCTTGGTACTGGGGATCAAACTCATGACAGTGCACTTACAGGTAGATGCTTAAGCTACTGAGCTAAATTCCCAGCCCCTAACATCTCACTTTTCCCTGAAGTCCAAAAAATGATTATGAAATGGAAGTGTTTGAATTTATTCAAGACATTGAGGCAGGAAAAGAAAAAAAGACTTTGAGGCAGAAATGACAATGCAACTAGATAGTCATGAGAAAAATGTCTAAAACTATTTTAGAAAGTGGCAAGACGAATGGAATAAGTGTGTTTAAAACATGGAAAGTATTTTGAAGGGAATGTGGCAGAGTGTGAATCTTTTACTATAAATTAAAAAACAGCAGTCCTTTACAGTCACTGTATTATTTTTTGTCTTTTTGAGACAGGGTCTTACTATGCAGTTCAGGCAGGCCATGAGCTCACTTTGTAGCTCAGGTTGGTTTCAAACTTGTAACAATCTTCCTGCCTCAGCCTCCGGAGTGCTGGGAGTCGCTGTATTTTTTAATCACACCTCACATATTTGTGAATATGATAACCACCCCATTCTTTTTGGTTGATCCTTACAATTAGTGTATTTTACCTCTTTCACTTTCAGGTTTTGTCTAAAGGCATCTCTTAAAGATAGAATATAGTTAGATTTTTAAAAAGAAAACCTCAGTTACTCTACCTTTGATTGAGTTTCACATTGAAAGTCATTACTAGTAGAAAACTTAACGCTGCTACTTTTATTGTTTTCTGTGTATCTATCTATTTTATTTATTTATTTTTGGTACCAGAGATGGAACTCATGACCTGGTGCTTGCCTGGCAAGTGCTTATGCACTGAGCTAAATCCCCAGCCTTTCTTTTTAGTTATTTTGTAACTGTTTTCCATACTTGGTGCTTTTTGTATTTTGATGATTTTTAAAATAGTGACATGCCTAGATTCTCTTGTTATTTGCATGTTCCCCATTCCCCGCTCCCCACTCCCCACTCCCCGCTCCCTTTCCATTTCCCTTTCCCTTTCCCTTTCCCTTTGTGTTGCCCTTTCCTTGCACCCTCCCTTTTTTCCCTTTTTTTCTTTATGGTATTGTGCTACTTCCCTCTGAGCTACATCTCCAGCCCCCCCCCCCCTTTTGGGAGCAGAGTTTCATTAAGTCGGTAAGTTACCCAAGCTGGGCTCAAAGTTGGCATTTTCTTGTCTCAGTCTTTAGAAGTCCTGGGATGATAGGCATGTACCACCATTCCTGGTTTCCTGTTCATTTTCTTTGGTGGTTCTTCTATAGGTTGTTTTTTATGTGGTTATGCAGGGATTATATAAAATATAATGGAACACTTTAACCACTTGCCTGTCCGGTTATTTAAGTATAGGATACCAAAAATTACATGCTTTTCATTAATTTTATAAGATAACAGGAAAAATAAAAATGACAATTTTATCAAATTTATTCTATGCTAGAATTAACTGGTTGAAATGACACCCGCCCAAGCAGTGCTTGGGACAGTACATAAGTAAACGTGCTGCCTGCTCAGGGTAAACTGTTGGTTACGCTGATAAGTTCAGTTGCATGCAAAAACTGTACTATTTGCATCTTTCCTCTTTTATGTTGTTAAAAATTGTACATAGTTTTATCATTATTTTTGTGCTTTCATTAAGCATTAAGTTCTGTAAGCACCACTGGTACAGTATTGCAGGATTTCCTTCTAGTATTCTGCTAGGAAATCTTCAGGTAATCTTATAGAAGCTCCTATGTGAGTTACTTTTCTCTTGTTTGTCTCAAATTTTCTTTGGCTTTGATAATTTAATAGTATATCTTAGTGTGACCCTCTGGATTTATCAAATTTCTTGAGTTTTGTTATCCATTTCTTTTTTCAGATTTCAGAAGGTTTCAGTTATTATTTTTACAAATAAATGCTTTGCTATTTTCTCTTTATTTTGGTAATACTCATAAATATATTGTCTGCTTGACAGTTTCCCATAAGTTTAAGCTTTGTTTTTTCTTCATTCATTATTTTGTGTTCATTGCACTAAGTGATTTCAAATGACTTGAGTTTACTGATTTTTTAATCTGTGTAAACCAACTGTTGGAATCCTCTTGGGAATTAATTCAGTTATCGTATATTTTAGCTCCAGTATTTCTATTCAGTTGTTTTTATTTTTTATTACTTTTAGTAGTCTCATTCATGTTTTTGTGAATTTTCTTTAGTTATTTATTTGTGATTAATGGTGCATTGAGCTTTTTAAAGATAGTTATTTTGACTTGTCAGATAATTCATTACTGTTTCTTCAGGGTTACTTTGTCCAGGTTTATTTTGTTTTTTTGGGTCGCCTGTTTCTTCATTTGCCTTGTTATTGTTTGATATTTGTGCATTTGATAAGACATTCATCTCTTTCAGCTTTTCCAGACTTGCACCAGCTTGTGTAGAGATATTCTGGGGTCCCTTAAGCTTTTTATTAGGAGATACCGTCTTTGACTTTTTTCATGTGATTTCTCAAGTAGGAAGATTTGTGATTCTTTTTTCAGGAGTTTGTACTCTCCCTCTGGTGTGTGTCTGTGGTATTGCAGTTTGTTGTGCTTCGAATGGCTGCATGGAACAGTCTTTTGTTCTCCACATTGCTTAGGAAACTGAAATGTGTTGGTTCTCTCATAGCCCCAGCTCAGCCAGGATAGAAACCTGCACACCCCACTGAAAAGTCAGATTTTAGATGCATGTTCCCACTCTTTCTTTCCCAAGGGAAATTGACTCTGCTCTTCCTGCTGATCTGTGCCAGTTAAGGCAGAGGGCTTTTGTGGTTATCACTGTGCTCTTCCACTTTTCAGTGCAGCTGCTCTTTGACTTTGCCTTTGCTTGAGATGCTGTCACCATTTAATTGGCTTTTGGAGTTCTCACAAAGGCTATTTTGGACTGTTAATTGGTGTCTCTGTGGGAGCAAGGTCTAGGCTACCCAGTCTGCCATCTTGGTAATGAGTTCCCTTTTGTGTCTCTTATTTGATTAAAGATCTCATTTCTCTCCTTTGTGTTTTTCTTCCCATGGAAGACAACAGCTAGAAAGAGAGCTTTCCATTATTTTTTAAAAATAATGGCTCACTTTGTTGCTTAACTAGACTCCTGGACTGAAGTAATATTCCCACCCCAACTTCCCAAGTAGCTGGGACTACAACCGTGCATTTCCTGCCTACGTTTCTGTCCTTTGTCAGTTGTACTTGTTTTAGGAATTGCATAGGCAGAGCATCAGCCAGGTGTGTGGAGACTCATGCTTGTAATCCCAGCACTCTGGAAGCCGAGTCAGGAAGATTGCTATGAGTTTGAGTTTGGACTAATATAATGAGACCCGGTCTCAAAAAACGAGAACAAACAAACATGTATAGTTAGAGCATCAGTGTTGGAAAAAAGAAAGTGGAATTTCATTTCAGAGAAGTATGAAAAGTATTTTCTCTCTAGCCAGGAGAGGAATTTTGATGGTTAAGACCTTGGTTGACTGCCATTTACTTATTTTTCAGTTTGTAACCTGAAGATAATAACAATAAGCCAAAACAAACATTTTGTAAACTGTATCTTTTACTGCTGTGTCTGGTGCTCTTGAATCAGGTATCACTCATTACTGAAGTTAACAGTTTTACACGTTCTCACAAAGAAATGGCGCACTCAGGTTCAATATTCGTGTTTTGTGTAATTTTTTTTTTTTTTTTTTCTTTTTGAGACAAGGTTTTGTTATGGCAGTTCAGGCTGGCCTTGGGCTCACTTTTTACCCTACGCTGGTCTTGAATTTGCAAACGATTCTCCTGCCTCAGCTTCCTAAGTGCTGGGATTACAGGAATGTGCCATTACACCCAGCTGTTTTTTGTAATCTTAATGCCAGTCAGAATCAGAATTTGTATATCTAACTCTGGTGGCTGATACTTCTTTGGGTAGTATTACCAGCAAAGGACTATCTAGTACCTGTTTTAATTTTTTTATTTTAAAGAGAATAAACCCAAACAGGATAAAGCCAATCTAAACAAAACAATGAAAGCAATAACAGAATTTCAAAACAAGACAATAGGAAATCAACAATGACTATCATAATATGTCTTGTTATCTTCAAAATAACTGCCATACCATCACACGTAATAAAAATCAAACAAAAACAGAGTAAGACTCAACAAAACAATGTGATACAGGACTTCAAATCAAGATAATAGGACATTAATAATGGCTACCATAATGCCTCTTGTTATCTTCAAAATAGCTGTCTAGACTTGATACCTGTTTTTAAACATCTCTGATAGTCACACAGTAGTCTATATGGACAATGCAGATTAAGTTTTTTTTTTTTTACTAAATTTATGAATTGCCTATAGGCAAGATTTGCCAGAGTTGAGGGATTAGCAAATTTAGTTAATAAGTTTAAGGAAGAAGAGGCTGCTAAGTACAGTAAAATAAAAACCTTAAATTTTAGATAAAATTTAAAAATCTGTTTAATGATATCAAATTTTAGACAAAACAGGTTTTAATTTCTTCATGTGCGTATGTAGATTATACCTGAAAATTTGGATGGTATACAGTAGAGCTTATTAAATTTATGTAGATTTTTATAGCATTATGTTATAGCTTAATAAAAATTACAATTGGACATGCTTGTTAATACTCATGACTTGTGCACATATTAAACATGTTTTAACTTTAGGATATAATAAGATATAGTAAAAAATATATGCTGTGAGATATATCTGGCTAATGTTAAACTATTTATTTGTGTTCTCGTTTTTGTTTTTCCTTAGGTTGGATGGAGTACTGCTCGTGATTATTATACCTTTTTATGGTCCCCTATGCCTGAAAATTATGTCGAAGGATCAACAGTCAATTGTGTATTAGCATTTCAAGGTATAAGACTATAAATTGCAGAACCTCACAATACTAGATATCTTACTGATGTTAATATATGTATGCCATTATAATTTCCCTTTGAGTCATATCCAAAGTTAAATTTATTAGTGTCTTTGTTGAACAAAAATCACAAGAATGTAAATATCAAGTGTAGGCCATGTGATATTTTAATGATATTTAAGTAACACTTAGTAGTGTTTTGGCTTTTTATCTTAGGTTTCATTGAGGAGAGTAGGTTTCTTTGCAGATCTTTACTTTTGGTGATTTTTATTTTCCTGGGAGAAAACAGTACAATTGGCTAAGATCAGGAAGGCATGGGAAAAGATTAAGGTTGATCAGTGTAACCACAAAATACAAAAAAGAGACTACTTCTTTGGAGAAGCATTTCAGGGTAAAGACTGTGAATTGCAGAACCTCACAATACTAGATGTCTTATTGATGTTAATATGTGTATGCCATTATAATTTCCCATTGAATCATATCCAAAGGTAAACTTATTAGTGTCTTTGTTGAGCAAAAATAGAACAAAATGTGCAGAGTTTCTTTACAAGTCTTTGCCCCACCCTTCTCTGGTTTTTCTGAATTTTAGCACTTGGAGTTTAGTTTAGTTTGTGTTTGGTATGGACACTAATTGTCAGTATGACTGAATAGAGTGTGTGGGTATGTTTCCTTATGTTCTATTTCAAAGAAAGAAACATTCAGAAGATAAAATTTGTAGTAATATATACAGATTTAGGTTCTTATGTTAAGGATTGGTGATACAGTTCAGCATGTGCTTCCCCTCTCCTTTCCTTTTTGGGACAGTGTCTTGCTATGCAGTTCAGGCTGGCCTTGAGCACACTTTGTATTCAGGAATGGTCTCACAATAATCCTCCTGCCTCAGCCTCCTGAGTGCTGGGATTACAGGCTATGCCACCGTACCTAGCAGCGAGTATTTATTATGTATAAGGCCTTGTGTTCAATACCTAGTATCTGCAAGAAACTACTGTCTTGTATGTAGTTTATTGTTAAACACATGGCCTTTTAAAAGATAATTGATATGAATATGTGCTTTAAAACAGATTTTATTGTGTTTAAAGTTTTTTTTTTTTTTTTTTTAAAGTATGGGTTTACTCCTAGCCTTTTTTGGTGTGGTTGGTTTTACTTTTAAAAATAAGGTTACCAGGGGCTGGGGATTTAGCTCAGTGGCATAAGCGTCTGCCTTGCAAGTGCATGGTTGTGAGTTCGATCCACAGTACCAAAAAAAAAAAAAAGGTTACTGAAATTGTTGTAGTGACTTAGTGAAAAGTCTAAAAGTGTAAGAAAAAGGAGAGAGAAGTGTTTAGCCTATTTCTGTTTATACCTTTAAAAATGTATTTATGAGCTGCAGGTCATAGTGCATGCTTATAATCCCAGCACTTTGTCTGGGAGGCTGAGGTAGGAGGATCGGAGTTCTAGTCCAGCCCAGGCAGTTTAGGGACTTAGAGAGATCCTGCCTCAAAATAAAAAATAAGAAAGTGCTGAAGGTATAGCTCTGTGGGAAGTCCCTGGACTCAGTCTCTAGTCACTAATAGCAACAGTGAAGAAGATAGCTAAGCATAAATGCAGTTTTTTTTTTTCTTTAAATTTCAGTAATGATTGGTTTTTATTTTAAGTTTTGAAGTTCTACTTAGAACTTTATTGTTATTTGTTTGTTACAGAGAGAAGTCAGGATAGACTCTTGGAAAAACTGTCATATGAAATGTTAGAAGGATGGGGCTGGGGATTTAGCTCAGCAGCATAAGCGCCTGCCTTGCAAGCAGGCAGTCATGAGTTCGATCCCTGGTACCGGTAAAACCGAAAAAGACAAAAAAAAAAAATGTTAGAAGGACTTATTTATTTATTGTCTTTTTGAGACAAGGCTTTGCAATTCAAGCTGGCTTGAGTTCACTTTGTAGCACAAATTGGTCTTGAATTTACAACAGTTCTCCTGCCTCAGCCTCCTGAGTGCTGGGATTACAGGCATGTGCCACCACCTCCGGCTCTAGAAAGATTTTTTTTTTAAAATTTATTCATTTATTTTTATTTATTTATTTTTATCAGTACCAGGGATCGAACTCTTAATTTTTTTTTTTTTTTTTGTCTTTTTGTTTTTTATCGGTACCGGGGATCGAACTCACGACTGCCTGCTTGTAAGGCAGGTACTTATGCCACTGAGCTAAATCCCCAGCCCCTGAGGGATCAAACTCTTGACTGCACCCTTGCAAGGCAGGCGCTTATGCTGCTGAGCTAAATCCCCAGCCCTAGAAGGGTTTTCAAAAGCACAATCCAAATCACTATTCTGATTTTGTGGGTAGGACTCACCTGAAAGGCAAAACTCCGAATAACTAACAAAAATATCAACATGTGATTTTTTGTTTTTGTTAAATGGATCCTTGTTCGTTTATTAAAATATTAACAGTGCTACAAAGTTTATAAAATTTGACTCAATATTTGGTTTGTGTGTTTTCTGGTTTTATTTTCAGTGTTACTTATCTGACAACAAATTTTTCAGACAAGTAGATATAAATTGCAGTTCTAAATAATTACCCCCCCCCATTCTGTTTTTGAAGGTATTAGGGATTGAATGTAGAGCATCTCTATTGCCCTCCCTTCTTTATTTCGAGACAGTGCCTCCCTAAATTGCCTAGGCTGGCCTTGAACTTGAGATTCTTTTACCTCAGTCCCTCAAGTAGTTGTAATTTCAGGCCTGTACTATGTGCTACATGGATATCAAATGGTATTGTACCGTAACTTTTTAGTTATCTTATTTTAGTGAGTTTTTTTTAACCCCTTGTTATTGGGGATTGAACCAAGGCCCTTTCCACTGAACTACATCCTAGCCCTTTTTAATTTTGAGACAAGGTCTGCCTAAGTTGTTAAATTGTCCAGGATAGGCTGAACTACATAAAATTCTCCTGTCTCAGCCTCTCAGATGGTGAAATTACAGGTGTTCACCACCAGGTTTGGCAGAGCCTTTTGTTTTTTTAAAGTCTTAGACCTTTGAATATTATTTGTAGAAGTTCTAAAAGTCATGATATCAGAGCTAATTAATCAGATTGTCTACCATGTAGGCTTTTAAAATAAGTAGTGGTTATTTGGAAATCTAGTTTGCTATGGATTAATGGATAGATTTAACAGTAGATTTTAGGAGAGGATAATTTTTTTTTGTCTTTTTGAGACAGGGTCTCGTTATACAGTTCAGGATGGCCTTGACCACACTTTGTAGCCCAGCCTGGTCTCATGATCCTCCTGCCTCAGCCTCCCAAGTGTTGGGATTACAGGCGTGAGCCACCATGCCCAGCTACAAGAGGATGAATTTTTAAGACATTTTGCTAGCTGAATATGATGGTACATACCTGTAATCGAGCATTTGGAGAGGCTGAGCCATGAATATCATCAGTTCCAGCTCAGTTTGGGGAACTGAGTGACTTAGCTGGACACTGTTTCAAAATAATAAATAAAAAGGACTGGTTACATAGCTCATTGTGAAGGTCTGATATTAATAATCTTCATTACACACACAAGTCAAAACAAAACAAAACATGCAATGCTAGATACTTTATATTCACAACTATTGGATAAATAAATATATATATTTTTGGTCTTTTTGAGGTGGAGTCTCATTATGCAGTTACGGCTGGCCTTGAACTCACTTTGTGGCCCAGGCTGGCCCAGAATTCTCTGTGATCCTCCTAGCTCAGCATCCAGAGTACTGGGATCACAGGTGTGTGATGCCATGCCCAGCTGGATATAATTTTAGATGCAGAAACTTTTGCAAAAATAATTAAAAGAATTTTTTCCTCTGTTCAGCTTCTTCTAGTTTTTTTTTGTCTTTTTCCTTTTTATCGGTACCGGGGATCGAACTCAAGACTGCCTGCTTGCAAGGCAGGTGCTTATGCTGCTGAGCTAAATCCCCAGCCCCTATTAAATATACGCCTTTCCTTTTTTTTCTTTTTCATTTTTATGGGTACCAGGGATCGAACTCACGACTGCCTGCTTGCAAGGCAGGTGCTTATGCCGCTGAGCTAAATCCCCAGCCCCGCTTCTTCTAGTGTTAACATCTGGCATGGCCATAATACATTTATTTTATTCCTATTTTCTTATTATTTTGAAGGTAGTAAAATACAACAGAACAAGACAGAACAAAGCCAAATGAAACAGTGCAGTTAAATTGGTACAGAATGTCACAGCAGGTTACTGGGATAACAGTAATACGTACCATAGTATATCTTGTTATCTTCACAGTAGTTGTCCTTTCAGTCAGGTAGAGCAAAATCAAACCAAATACAGAACATTATCAAAATAGAATATTGAATAGAGCAATACAGTTAATCAGAACAAAGCAAAACAGTTATAACAATATTTGCCTTGAAAGAGATGGTAGAAAGAAATCTCCCCTATTTGCTATATTGCATATGGTCAACCTCCCAAGAGATGCTCAGACCTTTGGCTCCCATTTGCTAATGGGGATGTGTGTGTGTGTGTGTGTGTGTGTGTGTGTGTGTGTGTCTGTGTGTATAGGATGGAATGTTTGATTCTCAGCCCGAGCTGGTAGGCTCATGGCTGCTTACCAGGGAGGCAAGCAGGTTGCTTTCTTTTCCAGTGCCCTAAGTGCCAACATGGTGGGATCTCTGGAGACACTGGCTGATTCTGTCCCTGGGGTGCCCACTTGAGCCACGGCTACTTAACCAGAGGCGAGTGGGTTGCTTCCTTTCCCAGCGCTCTTAAGTTCCAGCATCAATACATTTATTTTAAATATGAGTAGTTTAGCAGTGGCATAATATTCTTGGCTAAATTATAAAACATATTTGAAATATAATATTCTTTTTCTGTTCTTGAGTCTAAACCCTGATCCTGTGTTGCATGTAGTTGTTCTATCGCTTCCTTTGGGTTTGTTTGCCTTTTATTTTTTTTGGAGAGATGCTTTTGCTTTGTAGTTCAGGCTGGCCTTGAACTCACTATGTAGGTCAGAATGATTTTGAACTCACAGCAGTTCTGCCTCAGCCTGCCAGCTTGTTTGCTATTTTTGTACGGTTAGATTAGATTAAGGTTATGTACTGTTTTGGGAAGAGTGTCACAGAAGAAACAGACCTTTCTCAGTATTGGGGAGTACTTGATATTTACGTACATTATCTTGATTGGTTAAGGTAGTGTCATGTGAGTTTCTCAATTGGAATATTTTCTTTTTTGTAGTAATAAACATTATGGGTGGGCTAACATGAGACTATGAAGGTATCTTACATCTTTTTTAACCACTAGTTTTATTATCTGTCAGTTAATCTGGCCTACAACAGTTAATGCTGTGGTGTAGAATGTTCATTACCTCTGAATTTATTAGCTGGTATTGTTATGTGAGGAAGTATTGTCATTTTCTCTGAATTCATTTATATAAAGCTTAATATAAGAAAAGCCTAAAGGAAAGCAGAGGAAATAGGTATAATAGGCTAAAAATTTTAAGACATGAAAGAGTAGTAGGAATAATGATTAGATATTTAGGTAGATAATAATTAGGTAAATATATTCATCTCTTGTGTATTCACATTTAATTAGGTAAATATATTCATCTCTTGTGTATTCACATTTAATAAATGTTTCCTTTTTATAAGTCATTGTAGGTGATTCCAGAACTTACTTATGTAACATAATTATACACATACAAATAAATATGCATATGCTCTTAGATTGTGTGTGGGTCTATGTCTATATTTGCCTTTAGTGTTTTTGAGATGTGATGTATGCTGTAAAGTATGTACATAGTAGTAATGCTGATAATACTATTGTTTTTTTTTTTTTTTTTAGTTAAAAGTACTGTGAAATTTGGAGAGATGGTAAAAGGTTAGTTTAGAATTAGAACACATCTAGCAAAATTTAAAAGGTAGCTTAGCAGTTAAATAAAGAGGGGAACAAATATTCAATGTTTTTTGTCAGATAGTGGCTAAATATAAATACATTCTCTGCACATACTTTCAAGGTCAGAGATAGACACATGACTTTATCTTTTTTTCTTAAAACCCCTGTGCTCAAAGAGTTTAAGTAAATAGTGGTGGAGCTGGAAATCCTGAATAGATCTGTGTGGTTCCAAAGCTTATTTTTGTTGTAACATACTAGTAGACTACATCTTTGTTATGTGTAGTGTAGTCCTTAGTTAATGTCTCCTTTTACATGTAAATTAAATCAAAGGGAAACTTTCTTTAAATGATGTGCTCCCATCCCCACTTCTGTCTTGCTTAGATTTTTATTCTGGGTCTTCCCTTGTTCCTCCTGCAGCCCTTTTCCCTCATGAAGTATATACTTTCCTCTCCCACATAAATTAGTTTATATTGTATAAATTTAGACTGCAGAAATGAAGATTTTAAATGTGTTTGAGGGGAAAGGAAGAGACTAGTTTCCACAGATACATTTGCAGATGATAGGAGGAAAAACATATAATTAAGTGCCAGGAATAAGAGATGACAGGTGTTGTTAAATTTAAAAATAAAAAAGTTTTGTTTGTTAACTTATCTCTTAGGATATTACCTTCCAAATGATGATGGAGAATTTTATCAGTTCTGTTACGTCACCCATAAGGGTGAAATTCGTGGAGCAAGTACACCTTTCCAGTTTCGAGCTTCTTCTCCAGTTGAAGAGTTGCTTACTATGGAAGATGAAGGAAGTTCTGATATGTTGGTGGTGACCACAAAAGCTGGCCTTCTTGAGGTTGGTATTGGCAGTCAGAACAGAAGTCATGTTGCCTGACATTTTGAGAATTTTCAGGTTATAGAAGAGTGTCTACAAAAATCAAAAGCTTTAGCTAGGCACAGTGACACATACCTGTGACCTCAGATATTTCAGAGGCTGATAGGAGGATCACCTGTTCAAGATCTCCCTGAGCAGCTTAGTGAAACCCTGTCTCAAAATATTAAAAAACACAAAGGGCTAAGGATGTAAACTGGTAAGAGTTCCTCCATGTTCAGTCCCCAGTAATGCTAAGAAAAAATTAAAAAAAAAAAAAAAAAAAAACCCAAAAAAGTTTTTAAAAAGATTAATAATACACTTACAGTGTATTTTTAAAAATGCTTTTGAATCTTTAGTTATAATTCTTTCATTCATTTATTTTTACACTCATTATTTATATTTTGAGTCTTTCTCAGTGTAGTCTAGGCTGGCCTTGAACTCATTGTGTATCCCAGGCTGGCCTCAACTACAGCGATTCTCTACCTCAACCCTCCATGTGCTGGGATTACAGGCGTGTGTCACCATACCTGGCTTCTGTAACTCTTGTCTTGGTTCCATAGTGGTGGGGGCTGTTCTCCGGTCTGATGGTGTTTTGTATACAGTAGGCAATGCAGTAAATCTTTATTGAGAGAATTTAGACATAAAATTTTCCTTATGTTATCTTGCCCAAAGTTTCTTTCATGGTGACCCAATTCATTGATTGTTGAATAGTACCAGTTTGGGGGGTAAAGCTGATTGAAAGAATGGCATAAATTAGTAAATCTAACTAATGAATGTGAGCTTTGTTTTCCTGCACTGTGCACATGCTTTTTCTCAAGGATAGCAGTGAGTCAGGGAGGCAGGCCTTCCAGTCTCTTGATTTAGTTTAAGCATTTTTAAGTGATTCTTTTCCTTGTTCATCTGATCAAATGAATAAGCATAGATTATAAAAGTAAAGATGAAAAGTTTTTTTTTTTTTAACTCTTTTTAAAGTAGAATATTGTTAAGTTATGACACAGTACTGCTGGATGCCTAAATTTTTAGTAGTTTTGAAAGTGAAAATAAGATGACATTCTTATTTTATGGTCATATTTTTCAGCATCTTTATCTTATACCTAAAAATTAAGAGTGCTACATTTGAGTTGTTGTGATTAATTGTATTCAGTGCCTTTTATTGTAATAAAAATGAAATTCACTTTTTAGATTTTTTTGAAAATCATTTTTTAGATTGGTCACTATTTTTTTAAAATTTATTTTTGAATTTCATCTATTACAGGCCATTATTTTTTCTTTATAATTAGATGGATCCAATTAAACATGTAAATATTTGATGCCTTTGACTTATTTACCTCAAAGAATTGAAACTAGAAGAAAAAACCCAAGAGGTTATAATACTTTTATTAGACAGTCAAACTAGAAGTTTAGAAGGAATTAATCACTTTTATTGTGAATTCTTTCATATCTTGCTTTCCCTGTTCCAGAAATTCCTCTCTTATCTTAAATAAAGATATGTAATTTTTATAGGGTGACTAAAACATTTGTGGTGACAACTGCCTGGTGATCTAGGTTTTTAGCCTGGTATTTGAATGCTACTCAAAGATACTGAAATAAGCCTAGCTCCTGAGAAGAATGCAGTTAGCATTTATATTGCAATTTTTTGAATACTTGTTAGACCACCCTGATTTCAGATGCTCTTAACAGAAAATGGTAAGCATCTTGGTATCCACATCTTCCTTGTACTTTTTCTACAAGTAAATTGGGATATAGTATAAACTTATTTCTCTTCTTCCTTCTCTACAAAAGGTATTATGAACAATTTAGATTGCTGTCTCTTAAGTAAATATATCTGAGATAAAATGTTTTTGTTTTCTGATCCTTTTCTTTTGACAAATCTTAAATTTCCACATTTGTTAAAGTCTTCAATGATTTTATTTACTATTGTACAAAACTAATATACTCCTGAAACATTATCTGTGTTGCCCTTGATGTTAAAAATGATTAATGAGACAATTCTACACCTAGATTAGATAATGCACTAAAAAAGACATTTTAGGGATAGTAAGGATGTTTGACTATAGCTTACTTATTGGATGATACAAAATTATTTTTATTTATTTACTCTTCTGTGATACTGGGGATTGACCCAAGGAGTGCTGAGCTGCACGCTCAGCCCTTTCTTAATATTTTGAGGTAAGTCTTACCAAATTGACCAGGCTGGCCTAAAACTTTTTATCCTGTTGTCTTAGCCTTCTGAGTATCTAGGATTATAGGCATGCATCCCCTACACCCAGCTATACAAAATTATTTTTAGTTTTGTTGCTGTGATAATAACAGTGATTGAAAAACTGTCCTTATTAGGAGATACTTATTGCTGAAATATTTGTGAGTGGAGCATTTTCAATTTGTTTCACATGATTTAGCAACAGAAAAGGAAAGAAATTGTATAAATAAGCTTAAGTGAAGTATATAAAGGGAGAGAAAAGAAATATACAGCAAAGTATCAGGAGTGAAATAGAGAATTGAGGTAAATATATATTCTTCATAAAATCTTTACTATTTTGTGTTCTTGAAATATTTAAAAACATAAATTAGGGGCAGAAAAATATATATACACATACACATTTATCTGAATTTAAAAATATTTGTATTTAAGCTTTAGTAAGCTCTTTATAATGTATATATGAATATTTATTTATTTTTTTGTCTTTTTTGAGACGGGGTCTCGCTCTGCAGTTCAAACTGGCCTTAAGCTCACTTTGTAGCCCAGGCTGGCCTCGAACTCAACAATAATCCTCCCACCTCAGCTTCCCGAGTACTGGGATTTACAGTGAGCCACCATGCCCAGCAAAGAATATATGAATTAAATCACTGGGAAGAAGTGGTTTTCTAGTAATGTTTCTTTTTTTTTGGCATGTCAGTACATATTTTCATTTTTCGATCTGCCAACACATTTTGAACCAGGTTTAATAGCACTAAATTAGTAATACTATTGATCTTTATGATTAGTATATTTGGCCCTAATTTTCTGTTGATTTTATTGCACGTCATTTGTTGTAATCTACTGCAGATCATTTTTAAAAATAAAGTGTAAAAGAAATTTGATGATTAAATATACTTTTCCCTATTGACTTTCTCCTGGCTTTTTGATTTAGTTGGTAACAAGCTCATTCTAAAGTTTTTAGCTATTCAAACCAATTTAGAGTTTAAACACTTTGATTCTATGATCCTATGACCTTAAAAAAACTTAGAGTATATTAAAGAAAAGTACTTTATTTTACCCATGATATCTCCTTTGCAAAGTCTGTCCTCTGAGACTCCATTATTCCTTGGTTAGAAGCAAAGGCTTGTGATAAGAGGAATATTAACCATTTTATTTGCATTATTTTAGATACCTTTAATTTAGTAAAAATGGTTTTACAGTATTGGAATTCAGATTTTTCAGACCTGAAAAACTTAGTATTTCCATTAAGAATCACTTATACTTTCAATGTATGTTAAGTCTAAATTTTTGTGGTAAAACTTCTATTTTTAACATCATTTTAGTGTCACCTAACAGAAGCCATTATATACTTAGAAACTATGTGTTCTTCAGTACCTAGAATTTTTTCCTCCTTTTGTTGCCAGAGATCAAACTCGTGACCTTGCGCTTACCAGGTAAGTGCTTGAGCTGCTGAGCTAAATCCCTGGCCCCAGTACCTTCTTTAAAGAGCAAGGTAATAGTAATCCAATAGATGAAGGCCTTATGTGTCATACAGGGAAGTTCTTAATAGATTAAAAAGATTTCTTGCAGGAGCTGGGGATTTAGCTCAGTGGCATAAGCGCCTGCCTTGCAAGCAGGCAGTCGTGAGTTCGATCCCTGAGACCGATAAAAAAAAGGGGAAAAAAAAAAAAAGATTTTTTTGAAGATTTGCATTCAAGAAGTACACATTTTCTTCCTGTTGTTATTTGATTAGACTGACTAAAAAAGCCTAATAATGAATTCACTGACAAATTTTAATATGCTTTATTTTCAGTATGGGTTTGAAAGTAGATTAGCAAGCAGTCTCCTTATAAATTTCACACATTTTATTCCTTCTTTTACTATTTCTTTGCCCTATCAAAATAAAGTTCAAATTTATGATTCACATTAATTGGCTGATTGATATGAAGTAGGTTGAAAATAAACATTATTTCTGTGACTAGCTACATTATTTTTTTGATATTAAAAACTAAGTTTGTAGATGTGTTTTAGGATTAAGAAACAATTTACTGCCTGATTTGGTGGCCCACGCCTGTAATCCTATCACTCAGGAGGTGGAGGCAGAAGGATTGCTGTGAGTTCAAGGCCAGCCTGGGCGCATAGTGAGGCCTTATCTCAAAAAGACCAAAAAGGAAAGAAAGAAAGAAAGAAAGAAAACATTTACTTGGGATTTTTGTTTTACAGTTGAAAATTGAGAAAACTATGAAAGAAAAAGAAGAGTTGTTGAAGTTAATTTCTGTTCTGGAAAAAGAAACAGCACAACTTCGAGAACAAGTTGGGAGAATGGAAAGAGAACTTAACCAAGAGAAAGAAAGGTGTGAACACCTGCAAACAGAACAAAAGGTTAGTTGTGTCCTATGTAACTGATTGGAGTTCATGTCATGTTGCCTAAAACCCACACCTTCCAAGAACTGAACCGATTAAAGTGAGTGAAAAAGAGATAATGCATTTGAAGAAATGTTTATATAATAGTCAGTTCCTATTAACCTTTACCTTTGTCTTTTATTTTAAGAGGGTTAAAATACTTTTAGACTTTGGTAGTGAGAGTCTTGATAAGGTAGGCCTTGACAACTATTTCCAAATATTTTATATTCAATTCTGGAATACTTGATAGAATCATTTTTGGAGATGTGAAGAGATAGTGGAGGTATAATTAAAATCAATAAAGGAGCGATAGATAAATTTAAATTAGTTCCTAAAGAATTTAGTGAAATTTAAGATGTAGTAATAGAAAAAATTGTCAAAATCTTAATTTAAGAAATGCTGTAGTTTATCCTTATAAGTAGCACCTAGTTTGAATTGACTCTGTCCTGTTTTTTTTTTTTTTTTTTTTTGGGGGGGGGAGGGGGAGCAGAGTCTTGCTGTGTAGTTCATGCTGGCCTTGAACTCACTGTGTAGTCGAGACTGAGATTGCCCTTCAACTCACAGCAATTCTCCTGGCTCAGCCTTCCTAGTGCTGAGATTATAGCCGTGTGCCCCCCAAATCCCACCTGAATTGACACTTCCTTGAGCAAAGAAAAAGCATCTACAGAAAATAGTGTGACTTCATTAGATACACAGTTGAATTTGAGTAGAAGCAAAAATCAATGAAATAATAAAACAGTTGCTCGGTCATTGTTTAATACTTTCATAAGAAAAATAAGTTGTTTTGAAAAATCTTACATAGATTGTAGTTTTGTGGATGATAGTCTCACTTAAAGCTAATTGGATATCCTTTGTTCCTTTGACAGGATTAAACTTTTATTTCTGGAGAGATGGGTCTGTTCCATTATTCTTTTTTCAACAAATCCTAGAATAATTGCTTACTAATTGTTAATTGAACCACTGTAGTGATTCTTACTTTTATATTCTAGCGAAGTGGTTAAATTTTATTGCATACCTGAGCAGAGGTGATGTTCAAATAGGTAAATTCTGAAAAGATTTCTCTTAGTTTGTTCCATTTATTTGAGAATCACTTTTTGAATTAGATGGGAAGCATACTATCAAGTAATATGTGAACTTATAAATTTCTTCACGAATGTCTATAAAATCTTTCCCTCTGTCTCCATTACCATTATCCCTTTTAGTTCAAAAGGTATTCTCTCAGTTTTACTCTTGAAAATTCAAGAACACTTTATATCCTGCAGTAGAATTGGGATTTGTATTTGGTTAAGGAACATTTCTTTCATTTGAACTTTTAAAACAGGTATGGTAAATATTAAAATACAGTAAAATCACATAATATGTGCCCACCTTAATATTAGGACACAGTTAAATTTCTTAACTCATTTCTTGTAACTCCTTTGTCTCTTAGTCTATATACTTAGCACTTTTTTCTTATTCTTTATATACAGTATTTCCCTGGATAGTTGTACTTAGATTTGGCAGTTTTCCAAACTGGAATACTAATCTTTTTTCTTTCATACTGATACAAGCCTGAGAGATAGAGGTGAGATAGAAAATGAATCTTGCTGTGTCTTAAGTCCATGAGACTAAGAATACTGTGATACATACATAACCTTTGAAGTTTCAACTCTGATCAGGTTGAAATTTTAGGATGATTAAGAAAATAGGGAAGGCAGAATGATAGACTTTCATTTGTGTAAATTTACTTGCATATATCAGGCCATACCACTAGTTCAGCTGTGTACAGTATATATGAGATTTAAATGGTTCTGTTTATTCAGGTGATATCAGATCACAAGCATTACATGCAGGACTAAAGCTTATTCTAATAGACTGCGAAAATGGTAGACTGAAGTCAGAGGACTTGTGAAGCAAAACTTGCAGGAAATTGTGGCTTTGGTGCCCAAAGAAGGTCTTGAGCACAAGTTTTATAGGGCAACTTCTAGATCTTAATGACCATCATCTTGGAGATTTTTTTCCTTGCTGGTATTCTTGTATTGGAACATATACCCTGAGAAGTATTTGTTTTGTTTTGTTCTTTTGATGGATGTTTAGGTTGTTTCTAGGATCTGATTATTACGAACTGTGTTGCTACAAACATGGGTGCACACACAGTGCATACACTGTGGTTTGATGTTTTTAATTCTTTTGAGAGGATACCCAGAAGGGGAATAACTGGGTTGAATGGGACCTCTAATCTTAGTTTTTTAAAGGAATGTCCACACTGATCTCCACTGTGGCTGTATCAGTTTGCATTCCCACAAACAGTGGAAAAGGGTGTGTTTTTCCCCATACCCCCTCGGGCATTCACTATTGCTCGATTTCTTGATAGTAGCCATTCTTTCTGGGGTAAGGTGGCTTCTCAGTGCTGTTTTAATTTGCCTTTCCTGAATGACAGGTGATGCTGAACATTTTTTCACACATTTATTTGTTTTGCTCTTTGTATTTTTTCATATGAGAAGTATGTATTCATCTGAGCTGCCCAGTTTTGGATTGGGTCTTTAAATCTGGGAGGGCTTTTTTTTTGAGTTCTTTGAGGAACAGATGGCAAACATCTCCCATATTGTGGGTTGTCTCTTCATTCTGTTAGTGGTTTCTCTTGCTATGCAAAAGCTTTTCAGTAGAGTGAGATCCTAGTTGTTTGTTCTTTGTGATAGTTCTTGTGCAATCTGAATTTTGTTGATAAAGTCTTTGCTTATGCCAATGTCTTTAAGAGTTTTACCTATTCCATCTTCCTTCAGATTTAATGTTTCTGTTTTAATATTAAGATCTTTGATCCATTCTGACACCAGCTCAGTAACATGGTGAAAGATACAAATCCAGTTTTAATCTTTAGCATATAGAGCCAGTTTTTCCAGCATCATTTATGAAAGAGGCTGTCTTTCTTTCAGTGAATGTGTTTGGCACCATTGTCAAAGATAAGGTGGCTTAGTGTATCTGGGAGTTGTTTCTACATCTTCTAGTCTATTTCATTGATCCCTGAGTCTGTTTTTTGTGTCAATACCACACCGTTTCGTTTCGTTTCTTTTTTTTTTTTAATTTAAGGAGAAAAAGAAAAAAACAGAAAAAGGGTACAAGTTATGCAGAATTTAAAAAAAAAACAGTAGGAAATCACTAGTTAATAGATTACATATTGGCATCTTAGAAATAGTTGTTCAAGTTATAAAATAAAAGCATATAAAGTGGACATTCAAACAGTGAGACTGCAACAGTTCTGTTCAATGATCCAACAAAAACTTAAGTAATATGGTTATCTTATACACTTAAATATACATGCAGTTACATCCTTTAGAGCACTTTCTTTTCCTCTCTTTTTTACAATAACAGTTACACATTTTGGGTTTTATTACTCCCACAGTTCTTATTACTTTTTTTTTTTTTGAAGAGAATAAAACCAAATGTGACATAATAAAACAGTCAGTCAAATCAAAAATCAAAAGGATGGACATAGTACATAATGTAAAAACAGAATACAAGGTGATCAACAATGGTTACCATAATGCCTCTTGCTATCTTAAAGAGAATTGCCTATATCATCAATTACAATAAAATTGAACAAAACAGTAAGAACAAAATCAATAAAACCAAAACATTCGAGACATTACAGGACTTCAAAAGAAGATAATAGTCAAACCAGAATGGGCATCATAGTGAATCTTACTGTCTTCACAGTTGTTGCCTATACTCTCAAACTTGGTACTATCAAGCAAAACAGAAGAGAGTAAAATCAGTCAAAACAAGATGGTGAGAACAATACAGGGCTTCAAATCAAGTTAATAGGAAATCAAAGTGGGTTACTATAATATATCCTGCTATTTTTTATTTTTCCCTTAATTAAAAAGCTAAAAATAAAAAAATAAATAATAAAAAAAGGAGAATGAGATAAAGGAGGACATAACAACAAAACAGCACAGGTCAAAACGTAACCATTTAAGCAAAATGGTGTTTCACCACAAGATATCCTGACATAAAAGTAGTTACCATAGTGTCTCTTTCCTTGAAATCTTTGAGTATAACTTTGTATACTGTAGCATCAAACATATCAAGACAATGTAAAACCATTCAAGAGAATGACAGTATTTCAGGGTATTTAGAACCAACTAACAGAAAATGAACAATAGTTTCTGTATTGTCTCCTTGTCTATAAAAGTTTTTGTTTATATTATCACATATAATAAAATCCAATAAGATACAGCATGGTAAGACCGATGGAGACAGAAGCACAAAAGCTTGATGGGACTTCAAAACAAGATGATATTAAATCAGTACTATCTATTATGATGTCTTGTTTTCTCCAAAATAGCTGTTCCTACCATCCAACCTTCTCTGCCTCATTTCTGTTGAGCTCTTATTTTGTCATTAGTTGTCAGTTTGTCTTCTTCATTTCGCTTTCTGCTCCATTCATTGTGGCCTCTCTGCCACTGTTTCTGGAATCTTGGTATTTTTCTCTTGTAGAATGTCCTGCAGTATTCTCTGTAGAGTTGAACTGGTGGTTGTAAATTCCCCTAGTTCCTCTTTATCCTGGAAGCACCTTGTTTTTCCATTAATTTGTAGGGACAGTTGTGCAGGATATATCAATTTTGGCTGCAGGTTATTGTCTTTCAAAGCTTGAATTATTTAGCCCCCAGCTCTTTGTGATTTGATGGTTTGTGCCGAGAAGTCTGCTATAATCCTGATAGGTGTTCCCTTATAAGTGATCTGTTTCTTGTCTCTGATGGCTTTTAATATTCTGTTCTTATATTGGATTTCTGGAATTTTGATTATTATATGCCTGGATGTAGTTTTGTTTGGGTTTTAGGTGGCTGGGGTCCTGTATGTCTTATAGATCTGAGTATCTTTACCTTTTCCTATATTAGGGAAGTTCTCCTTGATTATTTCTGTGAATAGTCTTTTTAGTTCATTTGTTTGTATCCCGGCTTCTTCCTTTACATTCTTAATTCTTAAGTTATAGCTCCTCT